GGCCTAGTTATCTCTGAGTTTGGGGAGTCACAGGCTTAAGAGCAGCCCCTTGCCCTTTGAGCAAACAAATGTCTTTCTTCAGGATTCTGTCAAGGAGCCAGTCAACTTTGAAACACCAGAAAGTGTGGATCAGTGGTAAAGATCCAAAGGAAAAAACAATGTAATGGAAGTTTCAGAACAATCCCCTGGCCCCAAACTGGTACCTTCAATTCAGTAGGCTTTGTATAACTGTATATCCAAATGGTAACTAGGCATGAGCCCAGCCAGTTAGAAGGAACCCAGTCACATGTCCTACTGGGAAGAATTTCTTTTGGCAGCTGAATGGCTACATATATGATTAGGTATATGTGTTTTAGGGGGAAAAATTCTCTTCATTCTAGCAAAGCCCAAATAAAGACACTACTCACTACTCAGGGGTTTTTAACAACAGCCTTCATCATATAAATTGAGGTGTGTGTGTGTGTGTGTGTGTGTGTGTGTGTAACACAATGATTATTTTCTTCATTCAATCCTCTACAAAGACATTTTTATCACAATGATTATAACACTGATTCATGTCACAATTCCTATAATTTTAGATCTTAAGTAATAAGAAAATCAAAGAGTACCTTTGCTACCCAAAGAGCACATATCTCTATTTTCCAAAGAGGGACAGAACATAAATATCATCTTTGTGTACACAAACCTGGAAGATACACACATGCTTATGCCTGGACACACACATACCTGCAATACTTAAGGCAACAGATGTCCCCTCCCCTACCCGGATCCCTGCCAGCCCCGCAGGATTTCCGGGGGCCGGGGGGCGGGGGGCGGGGGGTGGGATTCAAATGAGCCAAGCTGGTACGTCTGGGAACAGCGCCACAAAGATCTCAGGACCCTGAAGTTTTGAAGCGTTAAGCAGAAAGGAAAAGCTTGGACCCGATTAGAATGGCTAGTTTTTCCACTCTGCAGCCGCCAGGTGATTAGAATTCAGGCTGATACTAATTCCGGGTAATTCCTGGAAAGAACTTGGGTGTAAAGAGAAGCCTGTTTGCTTTGTGTGATCATCACAACCCTGGGCTTGGCCATTTCACTTTCACCTCCATGGCTCTGCTAAACATATTTTTGTGGAAGATACCAACGATGTCTAATTGTCAAATATAGTTTCTTTTCCGCTGTTTTTTAAACCTAAACTTCTTGACCTTCCTGTGGCAGAGACTCCAGCTATTTCTTCTCCCTGGGTGCCCAGCTAGACCGTGTCTTGCTGCCTCTCCTGCAGTGAGGTGTGGCTACGTGATTCTCTCCAGCACACTGCTGTTGTTTTCAGGCCTGGTGTTCCCGCTTGAGGAGTTTTGCCCCTCCTCTTCTTCTCCACTCCCTTTACCTCTCCTCACTATCGGGCATGGGAATCTAAGTAAAGATTAAAAATATAAGGTTGCCATTAACCTGGGTTTCTGAATAACTTTATGAAGCAAAACACTCCCCCTCCTCACCTCCCTACACACATACACAAACACAAACATTGAACTGGACTTTTACAAAAAGAAGAAACGTCTTGTGCTAAGCTATTACCTATGGACCTATTTGTTATGACCTGTTTGTTATCTCAGTGACTATTTCTGATTTCTTAAAACCTATTTTTGTTCTGCTTTCATGCCATCGCTGTTCCCAGTCCTTTTTCTGTCCCTCTGACCATTCTTCCATCTCGCTCTTCAAACTGTCCAATCCTCAAACTAAGGAAACCTTCCCAGTACTCTCATCTTTCCTCTTCTCACTTTGTGTGTTTTTATGGAATGGGTTCTCCTTTTCCATGGCGTTTCCTGCTCTTGATCGATGGATAATCCCCAAATCCATCACCATCCCCTATTCCAAAACTTACCAGCTTCTCTCAAAATAACTCCTCTTTGTGTGTATTCTCTTTAGTCAATTCCCCAGTCCTTTCCCTTCAGGATCAACTTTAGCTCTTCCTTCCCTCCAAGTTTCCGTCCCAGTCAACCACTGAAACCCACGGTTTACACTTCACAAATGCCTCACATAAGGCCTGCCAACAACCTCTAAGTTTCTCCGTCTCTGATTCTACTGCTGTAGTTCCGAACACATCACTTCGTCATTCCTACAAGCCTCCACATGTCTCACTACCGCCCGCCTCTCCAGCCTGTTCACCACACGTTGGTTAGGATTGTGTATGAACAAAAACACATACACACATGCTCACGCACTTGTCCATTAAAAGACTTGTGATTCTTTGCTGTCACACTACACATAAATTATGGCTACTAGGTAAGGAGTACCCCCTATGTGCCAAATATTGTGCTGAATCCTTTACTAAGATAAATTTGGCATTTACCTCCTTAGGTGAGCATTTGCTCCCAGTCATAAGTCATGAAGCAGTAGAGGTCATACAGTTCCTTCTGACCTCAAGGCCCCTGGGCTTCACCACCATGCAAAATAGCTCTTAAGATCCTTCAGAGTATAGCCTGAAGCAACTTTTTCCATTCTTATCTCTACCTCTTACATTCTAGGAATTAGGCCCACTGAGGTTGTACCTATTCTTCAAATGTTTTTCCCTTTCAACAATTAGATGAATACTTTTCCACGGTGTTGCTCAGCATGATGCAGGTGCTCAAAATATATTAGTTCCCCTCTGCCATTCCTGTACGAATCCTACCCATGGGTAAACTGTTTCCTTTGCTTGTAGTTCCTGTGCACCTGCCTATGTCCTATATATTCTGAATTATTTTTTAAAAGTAAATTGGAATATTTCCTCCCCCCCATCAAGCCTTCCAGATTTCCCTGGAAAGACTTAGGTTTTGTACTTATTTGTTCCCTTAGCATGCCTTTAATCCCTGCACTGTGGTCTTTATGCCCCCTCAAATTGTAACATATCTGGCTATAGGTTTGTTTCTTATGAGACAGAGCTCTGTTATAAATTCTCTAGGAAGGTCTTGTTCATTTCTTTATCTACAGTCCCTCATGTGCATAAGTCCTCAAAATCTGTTTGATGAATAGTGTATGGATGAATGACACAGCACTTTCTAGAAATGCTTTTATTTTTTTAATCAGCTCTCTTGAAGTCTGATTCTAACCTGGACTATTATTTTACATAATTGAAAGTGGAATGAAGACTGTGCTAAGTGTCCTGAATGTCACTGAAAACCAACTGAGAGCTATGCTATCAAGACAGTAGCCACTAGGCCCCTGGGGCTGGTGAGCACTTGAAATACTGCTAGCATGACTTAAGATCTAGTGTAAATATATAATACACATGAAATTTCAAAGATTTACATTTTTAAAAGAGTATAAAATAGTTTAGAAATATTTTCTTACATTTATCATATAAAGAAATATTTTGCATATATTGGGTTAAGTAGATATATTACGAAAATTTATTTTTGTAATTTCTTTCTGCTTTCCTAATGTTACTACCAGAAGACTTTAAAATTACATATGTGAAAAAAATAAATAAAATAAAATGACATATGTGGCTTGCGTCCTATTCCAGTTAGAGCTGATTTAGAGTTTCTAATTTTATGAGAATAGTCAGTGTGATTAGGGAAGGAAAACAGTGGCCTAAGAGTCAGGAAATTCTCCTTTCTCTTCCAAAGTCACACACCGAAGGTAGGAAGGCAGGTAGGTAGGCAGAAAGGGAAGGAGGGAGGAAGAGAGGAAGAGAGGGAGAGAGGGAGAGAGGGAGGGAGAGGGGAGGACACGGAACAAAGGGAAGGAAGAGGAAAGGAGGGAAAGAAGTTAGTTCTGTTTTAGCTGACATCTTAGAGAGTTGTATCACATGACTACATATTTAGAAGATACAAATCACCTTTTCAATTTTATGCAAATATTTTCTTTTATATGATGATAATTTTATAACTGTCAATCAAATACTGAAAAGGTCCTAGCTATATCTAGACATAACACAGGTAGTTAAAAATATTAAATGATAGCTAGTATACTAAACTTTCTAAGGAAGACAAGGGCATGGTCCAATAGAACTCAGAATGAGAAGAGACCTTATATTTTATGAATATTGTAGTTTTCTTGACATCTACTAGATGTCACTTCAAATTCTTACTGAAGAAAATTAGAGAAAAAAAGAAAGCAAAGGCAAAAAAAGAAAGGGGAGGAAAGGAAAATGGAAAAATGTCTAGAGTCCACATTCTCAATTGTTAGTGATCATTAAGGCTTACTTTTTGTTAAGATAAAAGTATTTCTACCATCTGTTATTCCATGGTTCTTAAAAGTCTTCTAGTCTAAGCCTTAATGAATTACTGAATTCTATTCTAATCAACAAAACACTGGAATACAAGCTTTAGAAATTGTAATGTTTGCTCAATTGTATTACCAGTAAGGTCTGTATTTTAATAATATAATTTCATAAGGTCTGTATTATAATAATGTGTCACATTTACTTTTTGAATTTCTGGGTAAATAGGATCATATAATTGCTATTACTATTTTTTTTAAATTCATTTTATAGAAATTATAATAGTATCACTGGGGATTTAGCTCAGTGGTTCAGGTGCCAGCCTCGCAAGTGCAAGGTCCCGAGTTCAATCCCCAGTACCAAAAAAGAAAGAAATTATAATAGTATCAGTAGCTTACTGTGCAAATAAAATATCAGGAAAAATGATTGCTATTTAGTAGATATTTCCTATAAAGATTTCTAAAATAATGATATAGTACAAAAATACATTGGCCAGAAGTTTCAGAGATCTGGGTCCTTGTCAGCCTGGGAATGTTGTTTTTTCTGCCTCACCACAACATTTGGTAATAAAAGTGATCTACCCCACTCAACTTCCAGATTTGGCTACAAAATGAAATGCTTCAGTTCTTTAATTTTTGAAAAAAAAGTAGAAAAAATTTTTAATGTAATCCAAAATCGCAATGTTCATTCCCATCTCAGATGTAAAAGCATGAAAAATTCTCTGCAGTTTCTCTCCATATTAATAAGCAGAATTGTTCAGGAGGGGAAAAACTGAAATAGCTTTTGCAGAATCAAAGCATGAAAAATAGTTCCTTACCACCCCTCATCTGCTCCACCTCACAGAAGTGTGTTCCAGTGGGAGTGTGGATAAACGCATGGACATGTTTAGCTCCATCCTGAAAAGGAGGAGAAAATTTGTTTTTAGTAAAATTGCAGCATATGCCATAAAGCCAACCCTTTAATTAAATCGGGAGCATGAATGAGATAACCTTTTCAAAACGCTTCCAAGGGACTTCCTCAATGTAGACATGAGCTCGGGTGGCATGGTGAAAAGAAGAGAGGAAATGCTCACAGATATTCAAAGCAAAGGTTTCTATGCTTTTAATCTGCAAAAGAAACAAAACGCTAGTGATCAGAAATACTTGACCCACTTAAAAATAATTTTTAAATATTCAGGGATCTCTCTCTCTCTCTCTCTCTCTCTCTCTCTCTCTCTCTCTCTCTCTCTCTCCTCTTAAAGTGCACTTAAGAATGAGAGAAGCATAAAATTGAAAAGAATTTCAATAAGTAAGTTGGTCCTTATCCCAGCTTTCCATCTGGGCTCCCAAGGTTAGTTCATAGATTGCCATCAACAGGTGAGACTAGGCTATTTTGTTTTTGTTTTTTATTTTTTGGTACCCGGGATCAAACTCGGAACAATCCCCACGCGAGACTACCCTGTTTTTAAAAAGAATTGCGTTTTACAAGAAAGGATGAGCAAGAGTGGATGAGCCAAAAGTACCACTCAGATTCTCCTCACAGTGACCTTGATCATCATCTACACCAAAAGCCATCCACTCTGTAACACTCCGTTCTCTTTAGGAGACTGGCAAATGGGCCTCCCAGTTTCCCAAGGAAAATGCTAATGAAGAGCCATGTCACCATTCTTGCTCTGTGTGCAGGTCTTTTATTGATTATCCCTGGCTCTCCACACTCAGAAAGCAGCTCTCCACTTTCTCACGGATTCTCCACATTCAATTTTAGGCAATAGGCCCAGGATGTAGCTCAGTGGTGCTCTACCTGCCTAGCAAGCACAAGGTGTAAGTTTGATCTCTGGTACCAGAAAAAAAAAAAAATTCTAGGCAATATTTTGAGGCCCTAGCACAGTCTGTGAATTAATAATGGCTTTGCCTATAATTAAGGTGGACTATTTGTACCGGTTTCTCCAACATACTTCTGTTTTACACTGTTGTCCCAGCATAAGAATTAATAGCATCCTATTGTACTCTCAAAAGTATCTTGATTTGGATAAGAAATTATATGGTCACTCTATCTATAAAGAATGAACTCGGGCCGGGGATTTAGCTCAGTGCTCTCGCCGCCTGCTACTCAAGCCCAAGGACCCAAGTTCGATCCCTGATACCAAAAAAATAAATAAATAAAGAATGAACTTAAATTGTTTTTAACATTCAGGTCTATTCCCTCACTTTCCTTCAACCCCTCACACAGAAAGGGAAATACAATAAACTGTGGTGCCTGACCCTCTTCCATATCGTAATACAGGCCTATTTTCAACTAGTTTTTGGTGCTTTATTTTTCCATACTTCTGTCTGTTTGCTGGACTATTCTCATTAACAAGAGAAGAATTAAGGTAGAAATAGGCCTTGCAGAAATTGCACTGCAATTAGTTTGTTCATTTACTGCATTATGAGTGTGGATTCCATGTTTTTAAAAATGAATTTTCCAATCTGTATATCTTACCTTCTTAGAATTCTTGGCAAATAAAAGAATTAGCTATCATCTTGATTGACCCAGAACTTTGCCAGAAAACCAAAACAGCTTCACTCACTCTTAAAAAAAAAACAGAGCTCAAAATGCTAAAAAGTCAGGTTCTATCAGATATAAATAGCTCATGAAAAATCAATTAACCACCACATATGGACAGTAAATGGCAAGGAAGTTGAAGAGGCTAAGAAGGCATTAAAATTTGGACAAATTAATTTCAAGAATAAAAAGAAGTGCATCTGATTTTCTTCTGTAGTAACAACAGGAAGAGAATGGTATTTTCTACTATGAGTACACCATTCTGATACAAAAATAAATGATAGGACTCAAAGAAATACATGACACGTTAGATTTTGTTCTAAAATCTTTCAGAACCCTGGTTTGTTTATGATTCTAATTAGCAATACCATCCTAATTTGTCCAATATTATTCTTGGCCTGAAAGAGTGAAGAAAGTAGACTAAAAATATGATTGTAAAAAAAGCAAAAGCAAGCTTTTTCTGAAAGCCTGAGAGTTTGAGGGTAGAACAGAAAGTTTTAAAAATAGCTTAAGTAGGTTAAAAGGTAATAGGAACTCAAAATAAGCATGTACTACGCCCATGCTATCTTAAAGTGAATTCTGCATCAAGATAGGCAGCATGTAAGGAAAATGATGCATACCCCTTTGAACTTTGCCAAGACATGAACTGTGTTCTTGATAGTGTCTGTAGGGATGACATCTGAATTATCTCCATGCAGGTAATCTTTTTTGGAACCCAGAGTAAGTTGCACTGAAGTTGCCACCTCTTTAATACTGTGGTATTTTCCATCGCGTTGAATACGGAGAACTTTTACCATATCCTTCCCATAGCCAGTTCGGACAAACTCCACTTCAGCATTCTGTAACAAAAACGTAATCATCTTATGAAAAAAGGCTAAATGAAAGCAAAAGGCCAATCAAAATTTCTTTAAGCTTTCATTTTATCATGCATATTATACAAAAGATGAGACCCAAAGTATATGAAAGCAATATCACATTCTACCTCAGGAGAACAGAAACTTGTATAGAAAAAAGAAAATCCCAGAAAGCAAATGAAATACAGTAGACTGTCCTGCAGACAGATAGGTGGATGGCTTTTGTAATAACAATAATACATAGCAATAATAGAATCTCCAGAACCAACCATGTTAACTTACTCCGTCGTATTAATTCCTGCTAACTTAATCCTTGGGATTTCTCAGTGCACTAACATTCTCACTTTACAAAAAGAGAAACTAAGTTTCAAGGAGATTAAGTGGCTTGCCTGACTTCACATAGCTAGTAAAAGACAGAGTTAGGATTCACATTCACATCTATTGAGTCCAAGTTATAGAATGGCCATATTGATATAAATTGTCTTCCTCCTATAAAATTTCTTGAATATGTTACCTGGAAATAATTCTGTATCCTTTTATGTAGAAAGTAATAATCTGAAGAAAATGCCTATTAATAGAATTTTAAATTCCTTTTCCATTTGCTAGCAGGAAGAAGAATAATTGGTAACAGGGTCCAGATTGCTTTTAGGAGTACAGAGCCAGGGTCATCTCGCTGCAAGGAGAGCTATGTTTTTAGTGAAGAGACACTTAGAAGAACCTGCTGATTGGCTCATTAGGACCCTTATTTGAAGTTGAATCATAGCCCAGTAAACACATTCATCTCTCCCAGAAAATCCACAAGATTCGTCACTGGATTTTATTGGTGTTTGAGAACATGCAGGAGAGGGCAGAAGGACAGAAACCATTATCTCATTTAGCATGGAAATTGAACATTAAAATGGTAATGAAAGAAGATAACAAAAATGAAAGTAAATTAAAAACAGAAACAGCAGATGGGGAGAGTCTGGAAACAGACAAGGAACTTCACCTGCAAATCACACTTAGGCTGCTCAAGGGCTGTTTGCACATAAACTCACCAGGTCCTCTGAGAGGAATTGAAAAATACTAGTGAACATCAGAAACGACTGCTATTTTTCTGGTGAACTGATGAGAGGCCATTTCAAATCATGAGGATAGCGCTGCACACTATCATAGACCATTTAAAATATACTGGGGTTTGAGGTGTCAGAACTCAGGGCTGTAGTGGCTTTGGAATCAGAGCAGGTCCAAATTCTGCCTTGTCACTTATACTTTGGTAGCTTGAAGCAAGTGATTCAATGTCTCTGAGCCTCAGGTCCACAATTGCACCTCTACCTGTAGGGCAGCTCGTGAACGTGAAAGGCCTGGCTCAGCTCCAAGTATCTGGTGATTCAGTGAGGTCAGTCCCAGCACCAGTGCCCATGTCCTGCCTGAATGTGAAAGTGGCAGCAGTAGCAAAGAGGATGTTGTTGAAGTGCACTGGTTTGGGGGAGGAGAGCAATACTGACAGCAGCAAGAGGAAGACCCCAGCTCGTCTTGAGCCACAAAGGGCTCTACCTCAGGGAGGAAGGTCCTTGGCTGCTTGGGGCCCCTGGATAGTACAGACAAAGTCTCTGAGATCATTTGTCACCTGCAATCTGCAGCATGACTCAACACCTGTGACTTCTCAACCCCAACCTCTGCCACTAAGTATCCAAACTGGTGAAAGCAACTGGTATCTATGCGGTATAGAAAGAGATCACAACATAGCCATCCATCCTATCCCTGCTCAGCTCTCTTCTTATCTATTCACTTGTGACTTCAAACTCTTTCATGCTATCTTGAGTTAATTGTGGCCACCCAGGCTCTTCATGCTTTCCCTGTCTGTAAGTCTTTGAATTTGCTAATCCTTCTTTCTGGAACACTTTTTTCTAACTACACAACCACCAACCTCTCCACCTGCCTAATTTCTTATAGTCATCCTTCTAGTCCCAGATGTCTGCCATAGTCCTTCAAATTTGGAGTAGATGCCCTTTTTATGTGCTTTCAAAATACTTGTTACTGCCTTAGAATCATTATCAAATTGTATTGAAATTTCCTCTTCATGTGTATGATTCATTCTAAAACGCTAAACTATGAAAGCTGGAACAAGTTCTATCTTAGTCACCATAGCAACCCCAGCATTCAGCAAAGTGCCTAGAACATAAATAGATACTTGATAAATGTGTCATGAATGAATGGATGGTGCTAAGCACCTCTACTGCTTGTGTGATGATACAGACTAGTTAATGCAAACACACAAAAAAGATTGCAATACAGGAAGAGCTACTTCAGCTCATACCCTAATTGGGAATTTCCTCTTCCGGAGAAAGTGGGAATAAGAACTTATGCCTCCTGATCACCACAGCCTGGGGATAACAGGTACATCTGGCCAGAGAACAGAAGCCCAGGAAGAGCAGAAATGAGCACAGAGAGAGTCAGCAAGGCAAAGGGCTCACATTGCTAATCAGACAGCACTCCGGCACAGCCAGCCAGCCCGGAGAAGAGATTATTAGAGACACAAGATCTTGAGCAAGATCATGATGACACCAGGCAAATCTGTGCACTAGAACAAGGCTTGAGGAATCCAGCTTGCTGAGCAATGAGTCAGAATAAAAAGGACATATAATATAATAAATGATTTAAAATACTATGATTTTTTAAAAATTTTATTACAGTAAAAGACATTGTCATAACTCCCCCCTTGTTTCAAATGCATTCATCCCATGGTTCTTGACACTTTCTGAAGCAGATGTCTTTAGGTGGGCTCTCCTGGCTGCCTTCATGTTCTGACTCAGCTCAAAACATTTACTTTTCATGGTCATTTTGACTTTGGGGAAGAACCAGAAGTCACACAGTGCCAGATCCGGTGAATAAGGTGGATGAGGACACACTGTAATGTTTGCACTAGCTTCCCTTCCCATTGGATGTCATTCAGCAGCAGCATTCACAGTATTTTTTTAAATAACATTTTATAAAGAGGACTTCCAGAACTGCTTCCGAAAGTGGCAGGAAAAATGAGACAAATGAGCTCGTAAATGAGGGAGAATATTTTGAGAGAGATTAATGGCAATGTGTTTCTTACTGTAATAAATGTTTAAAAATCTAAATATTTATCATATTTTTCAATGCCCCTTTTTAACTATCTGAGCTTGGAACACAATGAGACAGTCTGGTGTGGGATCCCCAGAGAGTATTGAAACAAGACCTGGCCTGGATGAGAACTGAAGCTGTTCCCTTGTAGTTCTGCAGAGAAGTCAGAAGTGGGTATCAAAACCGCATTGTACATAACATGGGCAACATGTGCAAGACAGCTGTACAGTAAAACACAAAAGTTTCTCTCATCTGGAGGGTGTCCATGGGCTGAGAGATGGGCTTGGGCCTCTGGAGTAAGGCAACCCAGGTGAAATCCTTGTTCTGCTGCTTATTGGCAGAAGAGGCAATTTTATCTATAAAATGAGAATCATAGCAATGTCCATCTCTCAGGATTGATGTGAGGAGTACATAAGAAAAAACAAAAAGCACTTAGAAAAGTGCCTGGCAAATAGAATGTGCTCAGTAAATGTGAGTTATACTTACCACTGGCAAATAATAATTACATGTCAAATTTTGCATTAAAGGATCCTTCTAGTTATTGATATAAGTATTTAGAGAGCACACCAGACCAGAGCGCGTATGGGTTGCTCTTATAATCAGTTCTACTTCTGCCTTCCTACCTTGAGGGACATTGGCCTTATTTAAATTCTCATGATCACTGATACCCATATCTTTGGTTGTCCTTTCTCAGGCTTCTGTGGCTTGAGGAAACAAATTCACAAAAGAAAACTCTATTTCCTAGAGCAAGTCTCTGTACAAAATATCAGCAGGAATAAATCTTTACCTAGCTGTATGGAAGAAAAATCCTTTCTTATATATGCCTTGAAATATAAAAGGATAGAGACGTATTACATTTCTACAAAGTAATGTTGGAGCGAATGAAGGGATTTTAAATGACTCATCGGTTTCAGTTCTACTACGTGATGGCAAGTGTTTGCTTCGTTCCAGGCCATATTGAAAGTGACTAAATTGTCACAACCGTTTTGAGGGCTTTTAATCTGGAATCTGTTAACCCCCAGTGAGTCGATTTTAGGCAGAAGTACGTACTTTATGAAGCTGTAACTAAAACCTTATACATTTGCAGGGTGTGGGGTAGATGCGGGGGGGTGAGTACATAGATTTCATTAGATTCCAAAGGGGTTAGGTAGAGAATGCCTCGTAAAAGTTTAACAACTGCTGCTCTGTGTCAGTGGGGTTAAAATTGTTAGGGTCACTTTGGTCGACTTGACTTAGCCATGGTCTGACCACCAGGCACGGAACAGCGGGATGGGAGGTCATTCTCAGTCCCCAGTCATACTCCCTGCACCACCTACTAGCTCTAGGCCCATGTAAGTTCCTTAATCTTTTTATCCCTTCCCTTTTTGAACCATAAAATAGGATAATGATGTCACCTATTTTCTGTAATTGTTCTGAGGCTCAAAGTAGAGTAAGTGCTTAAAACAGAGACTGGGACATGGTAAGTGTCAGTGAGTGTCAGCTATTGTCATTATCTGGCCTCTCAATTTGATCAAAAATAGCAGTTGGAGCATTTTGGTATCAATTCCATTGCTAAACATGGGGAGACTGACTTGTTTCTCTTTTTGGTAAGGACTGAGAATACTGTGCTATAAAGGCACATGCTGTTTTCTGATGTCAGTAAGCTACTGATAAAAGAAATCCATGTCAGTATAAATCTTTGTCCATATTTTCATTGAATCTTTGCTGCTTATGTACACCAAGGGAATAGCTTTATATAAAGTTAATATTCATCCCCACCCATGTGCCATGCTTTCTAGCTTCTGTGCCTTTTGCATGTTTTCTTTTAATACTAATGTTCTCATATTTGTACTTTTATATACTAGATAGTAAATGAATTTTCCCATTCTCTACATAAGGACCAAGGCAAAAAAAAT